GCACCACACAACCTAAGACCGGAGACCCAAATGATTTGGGGAGTCCTCGAACTTCAAAAGATGCAAGAGGCTCTTCTTGATGATTGTGTCTGGGAAATTCCAGGTTCTGGACAAGGACATCGTGGCTGTGAAAATTGCCTGGAAGAACCTGGACTGCAACAATATACACAGTGCTCCAAAGGATCAAGCCCTGTATCCAAAAAATACAACAATATTGAACCATTGCTCCAGATGTGTAGCCGAATGGCCGAGATTCGAGTTTCTTCCGCTCAATGTTCTTCATGTCCCTTTGGCTGGTATAAGTAGTGAAGTATTTCGTCTTGATAAAGGGAGCCATAGCTTTACCCAAAGCCTTGTAGTCTTTGAACCCCACCCTTCGAACTCTGTGCTTGGAAGCTGCGGCCGGCTTCCTCTGTGGTCGGGCCATGGCTGGCGATCTCCACGGCACGAGCGATCAAAACTAGGAGAACATGTCGAGGTCACTACAGTCCTGACTGGCATAGCACTCAACTAGGCCTTTGCCGCTAGTACGAGGGCCCACAGAAACTAAGGCTGAAACCGACACCCGTGCCCCGAATCTCAAGACCTATTTGTTAACTTTGGGGTAGAAGGCCCAGGGTTTGAGGTTTCGGAAGCACACCCCAGTACAGACTGCTGAGTCCCCCTCAAGACCCGTAATCTGAAGACCTATTGGTGATGTAAGGGGAAGAAGGCCCAGGGTTGGAGGTTTCGGAAGCACACCCCAGTAAGAAGCACACCCCAGTAACCCAGTAGAGTTTTTTTAAGCAAAGGTCGGAATCCGAAGTAAGTAGTGTGCCGAACTGGCCGCAGCCCAGGATCCGCGATGCTATGCTGCTACTGTACTTCAAGATCTGGAGATGACGACACTTGCAAGCACCTAAAACCCTGGCCAGCTGCACTGGCTGGAGAACTCCGGCGGCAGCGATCGAATGATGAGCTCTGGTGGCTTGGGATCGAGCTTGAAGGTTCTGGGGGTGGCTTGGGATCGAGCTTGAAGGTTCTGGGGTCAAGGGCTTTAGGGTTTGGGGTCTGTTGCCTGCTAATACTGTAGATTTCGCAAAACTTCGGCAATCCTACATATAAACAAGGCAGTAAGCTCACAAAACCCTGAGGCGGGACAAAGAAAGTTGGGACTATCGCTGAAATCTACAGATTTTGGCCTCAAGTGTCAGAAAATGCTCATGATGATGAATCTTGCAGGCTATAGACATATGTTGATGCTTTTGCCGCCTTGTTCCCTTAAGGTTTTGTGTTCTTTCTAACACAGCTACCGAAAAACCGCCGACACCCGAATTTCTGAATCTCAAAATACACCACTCAAGCAAACACCGGCCACAGCAGAACCTTGAACAGGCTTCATATATTTTCATATATTTCTCTCTAATTTCTCTCACTCAAATCACTCGATAAGTTTATTTCTTCTTTTTTCTCCCGATCGCAGCACTTTTGAGCCAAATTACTTCTGCTCCACTTGTATCGCACTGGCTGCACAGCTTTGTGCAAAAAGCTTTTTTTACTATGGATGTAGATACGCATCCCTTTTTGGAACCACCCATGCGGATGCAGATGCGAAGCGGTTTCGTGGATCTACTTTTTGGATCCGTTTCGGGGTGTGGGATTAGGGTGGTTCGAAAGCGATCGGCGCCTTAAGCTCGGGCGGGTTGCCGAACTTGTTTGCTGCTGACCAAAATCACTGTACCAGATTTCGACATCAAGAAACTAAACCCAACATGTTTACGTTCTCCTTGCATGGCCCCTTTTGCCCATTTTTGGTTGCCGGGAGAAGAAAAGCGAAGGTTTTGGGGAGTAGTTGGGTTTTGGGTTGATAAGCACTTTCGTTCCTTGGCTTTGGCGAGCATGCTGTGAATTCTGTGAACGCGAGATTCCATGCCGTGGTTCAAGAACAATCAGAAGCACGGCACGGCTATAGTTCTTTCTCTTTGAACCTATGGCCGGGACCTCGGGAGATATGAGGATTTTATCTCACTTGGGGCCTGGGGTCGAGAGTTCTGTTGACTGTTGACTGTCGGTTGTTGCCTTCTCATTCGTGGGTTTATGCCGTACTTCTGCCCTTCTGCGAGGTTTGGGATGAACATTTCCTTTTCTTGTTGGAGGGTTTGAGCCTATGATCCTTATTCCTTACATTTATCGGTATGCCCATGCCACAATCTGCAGGGTAATGCAAAAATCAGCCAGACATACAGCCGAAAGGACAAGCAAGACTTCAAAGTCAAAGTGCCCATGGCTTGGCAAACCGCTTCCGCAAGTTCTGAATGACCAGCCGGCCAGCCAACGAGTTGTTTGAAAAGGAGTAAGGAACAAAATGAATTAGAAAATATTCAAAAATGCCAGAAAAATAAAATTCGAAAAATACATCAAAATTCTGCAAGAAATTAAGATTGAAAAATCAACTCCAACAAACATAAAACTCAACAAAAATTGAAATTCCAAAAAACAAAAAAACAATAAGAACTAAAACCAAAAATGAGAATTCCAGAAGAAAAATAAAACTCCTGAACAAAGTTAAAATTACAACTAAGCCTTACGCCCCAAGCCCTAAGCCCTAAACCCTAAGCCCTAGGCCCCAAGCCCTAAGCCCTAAGCCCCAAGCCCTAAGCCCTAAGCCCAAAGCCCAAAGCCCTAAGCCCTAAGCCCTAAGCCCCAAGCCCCAAGCCCTAAGCCCCAAGCCCCAAGCCCTAAGCTCAAGCCCTAAGCCCTAAACCCCAAGCCCTAAGCCCTAAGCCCTAAACCCTAGGCCCTAGGCCGTAAGCCCTAAGCCCTAAGCCTTAAGCTCTAAACCCAAACCCAAGGCCCCAAAAAAACCCTTAAGTCCCCAAAAAAATCCTTAAGGTCCCGAAAAATTCCTTAAGGTCCCGAAAAATTCCTTAAGGTCCCGAAAAAATCCTTAAGGTCCCGAAAAATTCCTTAAGGTCCCGAAAAATTCCTTAAGGTCCCGAAAAATTCCTTAAGGCCCCGAAAAATTCCTTAAGGTCCCGAAAAATTCCTTAAGGCCCCGAAAAATTCCTTAATGTCCCGAAAAATTCCTTAAGGTCCCGAAAAATTCCTTAAGGTCCCGAAAATTCCTTAAGGTCCCGAGAAATTCCTTAAGGTCCCGAAAAAATTCCTTAAGGTCCCGAAAAAAGCTTAAGGTTCCAAACCAAATGGAACCTTAAGGATTGAGGCCAAAAAAGCAGAGCCTAAATCAGGTGTTTTTAAGGTTTTCATTGAAAAAAAACCAGATTTAGGCTCTGCTTTTTTTCCAACTTGAAAAAAAAGCAGAGCCTGAATCAGGTTTTTTTCAATGAAAACCCTAAAAAAAAACTGATTTAGGCTCTGCTTTTTTTGGCCTTAATCCTTAAGGTTCCATCCGGTTTGGAACCTTAAGCTTTTTTCGGGACCTTAAGGAATTTTTTCGGGACCTTAAGGAATTTCTCGGGACCTTAAGGAATTTTCGGGACCTTAAGGAATTTTTCGGGACCTTAAGGAATTTTTCGGGACCTTAAGGAATTTTTCGGGACCTTAAGGAATTTTTCGGGGCCTTAAGGAATTTTTCGGGACCTTACGGAATTTTTCGGGACCTTAAGGAATTTTTCGGGACCTTAAGGAATTTTTTCGGGACCTTAAGGAATTTTTCGGGACCTTAAGGATTTTTTCGGGACCTTGAGGAATTTTTCGGGACCTTAAGGAATTTTTCGGGACCTTAAGGATTTTTTTGGAAACTTAAGGATTTTTTGGAAACTATTTTGGAACCTTGGGTTTGGGTTTAGAGCTTAGGGCTTAGGGCCTAGGGTTTAGGGCTTAGGGCTTAGGGCTTAGGGCTTGGGGCTTAGGGCTTAGGGCTGAGGGTTTAGGGCTTAGGGCTTAGGGCTTGGGGCTTAGGGCTTAGGGCTTGGGGCTTGGGGCTTAGGGCTTAGGGTTGAGGGCTCAGGGCTTAGGGCTTGGGGCTTGGGGCTTCGGGCTTAGGGTTGAGGGCTCAGGGCTTAGGGCTTGGGGCTTGGGGCTTAAGGCTTAGTTGTAATTTTAAGTTCTTTGAGTTTTACTTTTGTTGGAATTCTGTTTTTAAATTTGATTTTTTTTAGAAGTTTAACTTTCTTTTGGAATTCGAATTTTTTTTGCAAATTCAGTTTTTTTTTGTTTTAACTTTTTCCGGAATTTTCATTGTGTATCGGATTTTGTTTTTGAGTTTTGTTGTTTCCGAATGTCATTTTTATTTGAATTTATTTTTTGTATTTTCTTCTGTTGTGGGATTTTATTTTTTGGAAGAAAATTCGCGAGCGCTACCTCGGGGGGCAATACCAGCTTGAAAAAAATGCGCAAGCGCTACCGCGGGGCTACCGCCTACTACCACCTTGGAAAAATTTCGCGAGCGCTACCGCGGGGGGGCTTGCCACTTTGGAAAAAAATTCGCGAGCGCTGACCCCCGGGGGGCTTGCCCTACCACCTTGGTACAAAGTCGGAGCTAACACCTTGGAAAAAAATGTCGCGAGAGCTACCGCGGGGGGGCTACCACCTACTACCACCTTGAACAAAAATTTCGCGAGCGCTACAGCGGAGGGCCAGCCACTCTGGAAGAAAATTTGTGAGCGCTACCGCGAGGGGGCATCACCACCTATAAAACAAATTCGGGCGGGCTACCGCCTACTGCCACCTCGGAAAAAAATTCGCAAGCGCTACTGCGGAGGGGCTTGCCCTACCACCTTGCAAAAGAATTCGCAAGCGCTACCCCTCTGGAAATTGTGATATAGAAAAGGGCCATGGCAACGGTCTGAGAAACAGGGGCGATTGTAGTTGATTGCAGTCTTGCTGTTGGTTGTCATCAGAAATCGGGACATGTGATTTTAGCTCCAACTTTTCTTGTGCGGCAAACCCCAGAGCTTAACATTCCGTTTGCTTTTTTCATTTTGGTTAAGACCCCTAGATTAACGAATTTACGAGCGCGTGCATCCAGTTTGTAACATGATTCGCTTCGTGCTCACGAGATGTTCGAAGCATCTATGACGCCCTGTCTTTTTTGCAAATGCCACAGGTTAAAAAGAACATTTCCTGCTGCAGTCCTGCTGCCTTTCTGCAGCCGCTGCTTTCTTAACATGCCTTCCTTGTTGACAACGCGATCAAGCCAACGCTCGAATTTGTCCCTTACAGCCTTGCGACTTCCACACTGACGCCGCCGAGACACTTGACGCTTCCCTTGAGTTCCAGTAGGGCTAGCTTGCAAACGTGATTTTCATGATCCTGGCCGACTTGAGCGAATGACACATTGTTGTTGCTTTATCCGGACTCCCTTTCCAGTCGGAGCTCGGTGCTGCTGGCCCGCCATCAGCTCTGCACGAGCTCCGTGCAGAGGCTCGACCTAGCCACCTCGTCGCCCGTGCGTGAAGCGCGTTCCGTCGCCGTAGACTTCAGTTAGCACATGTTAGCACCAGGACCTGGACCCGCCTTACCTCGCAGCTTGTGGCGTCACCAGTTTCTTCCATCGTTGTGGCTCCGACCCGGGGTATGCTGGCGCCATGCACTTTAGCTCGAAGATAGGCTTGTTGGCCACACGTGCCACAGTCGTCAGGCTCAGTTGGGTCCACGTTGCGAGGGAGGCCGTGGGATCCAAGCGTGGTCGCGGGTCGGCGTCGGAGCAGAGGACCGCCGACGGTTGACGCGTTTACGGCGAGTGTGACCTCCCGCAGCCGTGCACCGTGGAGGTGGACGGACAGCACTGGAGTTCGCAGAGCGTTTCGAGCTGAAACTTTGGCCGTGGTCCTGTAATTACGCCATTGGTTTGAGACCGAAGAAAATTGATCAGTGAACATCATTCACATTTTTTTGTGGCTGACAAGTTTGGCGGTGGTCGGAGGTTTCAGTCCTGGTCTGGGACACAAGCAAGATTTCCAGTGAGAACTGGTTATGGTTGATTTTGCGTGAATAACTGGTGTTGGTGCCAATTTTCAATAAATCCTAATACAAATTCGAGGTCGCTTCGAAAAACCCACGCAAACAAATCTGCAAGGTTGTGCTTGCTAATATCGGCGAACATTGAAACTTACGAGCCCCCGGGCCATCGTCCTTTCCGTTGAAGTTGTTGGAACATATGACCACATCTGGCGTGGGGCCATCCTGAGTGCAGTGCTTTCCCGCACGGGCGGCAATTCTATGCCGCGCCTAGCGTTTCGCCAGGTCCTCGAAGGTGGTGCGCCAGCGGAGTGATGCGCAGCCTCGGCCGCTGGAAGTACAGACACTGCGCGTCCAGCCCTTCGGTGCACAAAGCTTGCCTCCGCAACGCCGTCCGGCTGGCGCTGCTGCACCCGCAGCCCCTGCGCCTCCTGACGAGCACCGCTCCGACGACGAGCCTGCGCCCGAGTTCGCCGCCGCGGATCAGGACGAGGACGAGCGGATGCTCCAGGCTGTTGCCGAGCGCGGTGCCCGAGCCACGGGCGTGCACGAGGAGGGCGTGGGCGACGGGGGCGAGGTCGAGGTCGTCACGCAGTTGACGCTGCTGCACGCCCACCTGAGCCTCCGCCCCAACCACGCGAGCAAGTCGCGTCGCCGCAAAACGCCTCCCAACGGGGAGCTTCAGATGTGGCCTTCCAGCGCGGGTTGGCCTCACTCGACGACATCTCGCTCCGCGATGAAATGCGCAAACGGGTTTTCACGCTGCAGACCGTTCCTGTGAAGATCCGCGGCGCTGCGCGCACCGCTATGCGGGCTGGCCTACAGCTCGCTGCGGACCAGGCATCGCCGGAACAGGAACTACGTGGTTGGAAACTCTTTGTGCTTGCCCCTCGCATGCTCCTGTATCGCGAGCCAGGTGTTACTCGCCTGACGCCAGACGAGCTTCACCGCCGCGTCACGCTCTTCCAGCAAGGTGCATGGCTGCAACTCCTCCGTGACGCTGCCCTCGCAGCAGGAGCAGGGCGCCGCCGCCACACCACTGTGCCTGACACGGAGGCGACGAGGGCTGCCCGTGCCACTGCCCTCGTCCACCTCGGTGAGCTCTCAGCGGCCGGGCGTGCACTGGTTGCAGCTCCACTTGCTCCGGGCAACGAGGAGACCTTCGCCGAACTTCAAGACCCTGCCCGCCGCCCATCCCGGCCATACGCGCCAATGCCAGCTCACATCTTGGACTTCCGTCCGGAAGGCAACTCCCAGCTACCGGCGCATGTACTCTGCACTGCCCTCCGCACCGCCAGGCGTGGGTCCGCGCCAGGACCCTCCGGAATGACGAACGAGCACTTACGTGTACTCCTTGACGATGAGGAAGATAGCGCTCTGCTGCACACCGCTGCTGAGCGCGTGGTGCAGGGCCGCGCCCCCCCGGCCGTCATCGAAGCGCTGCGTGTCGGCCGCTTGGTTGCCTTGCGCAAACCCGCAGGGGGTGTCCGTGCACTCGTCGTCGGGGACGTGCTGCGGCGACTCGTCGGCAGAGTGCTCGCGCAGTCGTTCGCCCCTCAGCTCCAGCAAGCTTGCTTGCCGTTTCAGTTTGGCTTGAGCACCCGGGCTGGCACCGAAGCTCTCGCCCGTGTCCTTCGCACAGCCACGGAGGTTGACCCCCGCACAACCATCCTCTCCGTCGATGCTGCCGGCGCCTACGACCATGTGTCGCGTGCGGCCATGCTCGGGGCTCTGCAAGCACGGGCGGAGCTGCAGCCACTGTTGCCGTATGTCAGGCAGTTCTATGCATCGCAGAGTCTTTACACGTGGGTTGACGACCAGGGGCGCAGCCATGACATTCTGCAAGGTGAAGGCGGCGAACAAGGTGATCCGTTGATGCCCGGCCTGTATTCCCTCGCAGGGCACGAGGCGCTGCGCACGGTCCAGGCTCGCCTCCGTGATGGTGAAGCTGTGTTCGCGTACCTCGACGACATCTACGTCGTCGCGCTGCCTGAGCGAATACGTGAACTATACTCTTCGGTCGAGAGAGATGTCCTTGAACGACCGTGAGACACAGTCAGAAGTGAAACCATCGTCATGATCATAGTTTCAACTTGCCAATATCATCAATGCCCCGCTCAGTCAGAGAGTGGATCTGGGATCCACGTTCACATTTCACACGCCGACGCATCACGGCAGATGGTGGCAACAAACACGACATTTCGTAAGATGTCACGTGCAGTGTTTATGGCTGGGTCTGTGCTGAAGAGTGTTTCCAAGCTCAGCATGTTTGATCTCCGAGTTTGCTGTCGCCAGCGGCGGCGTTGTTGGGAATAGGCAACACAATCCAAGAGTGCATGAGACAGGGTGTCACGGCCATTGGCGCAAAACCGGCATGAGTGCAGTACCATGCCGTTGCGATGACGCGCAGACCGACCGTCCAAAAAGTCATGATGACCACACCGCGCTAGACCCCAGAATCTGGCAGCCGTGGGACAAGCATGCCATAGCATGCCTGTAAACGACCCTGTGCAGTTGAGGTCGTCTCTGCCATCGGGCGTAGCACTCCAGGGAATCAGTGCAGTGCAGAAGGTTTGAATAAAGCAAGTTGGAATGCCGAGATACGGCATCGCGTACATGACGCAACCAAGACTTCACAACCGTCTGGGGTGCACCGGTGACGATGCCCCAACTTGAGGGGGGAGCTACACCAATACGGGCAAGCTCCAGCAGCACAACATTTACCCAGGACGTCTGTTCAGCACAGGCGTCCCGGGCAATGCGGGCAGCGAGACAAGTGTAGGGCAGGGACAACAAGCGTGCTAGCAGGCCAGCCGCCTGCAACAAGCGAGTCGATGACAAGTCTAGCCAACCTAACTGCCCCTGTGTCGCAGCAGTCGGTGCCCCTCGGGGCCACATCAGCAGGCGACGGCCCCTTCAAACATGCGTGCATTGACACGCTGTAACTGACGGGAATCGGGCACGAGTACAAGGCCGAAGCAAACTGACGGTTGGACATATGCACGGAATAACTTTTCGAGAAAATGTACTGGCAAGTGATCTGTGTGTGACGCTGTCCAAGAAAGGCATGCAGCCATCCGACGTTCACCACGTGCTAGGACATGATCAATGTGAAGACGCCAATTCAAGCTATCATGAAAAACAACGCCAAGGTACGTGTACGTGCGTACCACGGGAACTAGCTGTCCATTTACGTGGAAGTTCATGTCACGGCACCGGGAACGGCCCGGGCCGAAGCACATAACGGCTGTCTTGTGAGGGCCCACAGCAAAATTGAAACGCCATGAACGTGCCCAAGCAGTTGCTGCATCCAAGGCTTTTTGTAAGTCCGCGGCGGGATCGTTGCACAAGATTGCAACATCGTCCGCATACATTAGAACCAAAACGTTATTACAGGCACGTTTGATTTTGGATGCAAGGCCGTTAACCAAGATGTTAAACAAGAACCCGCTTAAGACCGCACCTTGACCAATACCGTTTTCAATTTCCCAAGGGTCTGATGTGCATTCAGAAATGCGCACAGCGGCTGTTCGGTTGCAGACCAAGTCATCAATAAGATGCCACAGACCGCCCTGGACCCCTGCACGGTGAAGGCGCCACATGGCACCGTCACGCCACGCAACGTCAAAGGCTTTCCGTATGTCTAGGAAAGCGCAGTAGGTGCGGGTGTTTTGCCGCAAGCGCAGTGTTTCAAGGAGTGAATACGTTTGAATGTCGGACCCCCAACGAAATCCAGCCTGGCACTCGTCAAGGCACGGGTCGACCAAGGGGTGGATTCTATTCAACACTATCCTCTCCAAAATTTTTGCGAAGCAACAAGTTAAAGTAATCGGCCGATAACCGTCATGTTCATTGCTGCTTGCAGCCGCTTTGGGAAGAGGGATCACGACCCCATGCTTCCACAGTGACGGGACAGCACAACACGCACGACAAAGTTCAAGGAATTGCAGGATTGCTTCCGTCCACCAAGACAGGTCAACACAGAATGCCTCGTATGGGATATTGTCAATGCCCGGTGCTTTGGAACTCGTGCACTGTTGGAGTGCATGACGGAGTTCAGATAAAGTGAAGGGGTGATCATTTTGCGTGGGACCAATGCATCCGTTACGGAGGCGCTCAATGCGCCTGCGCACACGTGCATATCGCTGCTGGTTGAAAGCTGCCTGGTCAGGAAGAGCGGCTTGCCGAAAGTGGTCACGCCACTCATTCAAACAAGCATGTTGCTGCTCTTGTGTGGCATGGGGATCGGGGCATAAATTACGGGCTACACGAGCGGAGTTGCGGTGAAATCTGCGCCGCACGGCGCGTGCAGCATCGCGCGGGCGACGAGATGTGAGATCCTCAACGTCGGCTAACCATCTGGTCCAATACGAATGCTTTGCAGAACGAACAGTTCGGTGAAACTGGTTGCGGGCAGACTTGAAAGCGGCGTCTGTGGCCAGTGTGAAATCATGTCGACGCGCACGCCAAGCTGCATTGCGTGCAAGCAGGGCATCCATGCAGCTGTCATTCCACCACTCCGGCTGCTGTTTGGTGGTCACGGGAAAATGATACAACGAGCTATCACCATCCCACACTGCGCGCAACAGCAAATCGTACAGTTCGTCCAACTTCAACCGGGCGTCGACGGGGCAAATGTGCTGGGGGGGGTGCTGTAAAGCACCACGAACTTGCGCCATCCACTCTTGGATGTAGGCTTGTCTCTCTCGCAGCAAGAGGTGCCAATCACGAACGCGCGGAACTTTTTGAGGCTCAGGCAGCAAGGCAGGCAATTTTTGTTGCAGGGTGACCGTTAAGGCGAAGTGGTCACTACCCAGCAAGGGGCAGCAGGCCGAGACATTTGGACATGAGCAGTGTTGACCATTGTGAACCTGGACCGATGTCACAGTGTTCGGGGTGGCAAAAATGAGGTCTAATGCTGCTCCATGGCGTTGGGTTGGGGCATTCACAGGGTTGCACAAGACTAAACCAAAAGCATTAAGCAATTGATGGATGTGTTCGATACAGGGACGATCTGCATCCCTTGGCCTACGGTTTTCAAGTTCTGGATACCAAACGTTGCTGTCACCTGCCATCAATATGGGAATGCCAGGTAAAGCTTGAATGACTGCTTGGGTTGATGCAAACAGACGCTGCCAAAAGTCTACACGCACGAGCTCCGTGCAGCCTACATGCGGCGCATAAAACGAGGCCACTGCCGTGCTGGATAACCCATCCGCTTGATTCAAGATGCGCCACTGGATGTCGGTTTGGTCTGGCACTGAAGCGATTGGCACGAGTAGGTGTTGCAAAGTGTTGTGACAAAGGAAACCAACATCACGACCACGAGAACCATTAGGACCATCAAAAACGAACGGCTGATCATTAGGAAGGTCTGTATTCGTGGGACAGACAGGCTCTTGCAGTAAAGCGATGTTGCAACGATGTGATGCCAGAAACTGCGTGAAGCCATGAAACGCACAATGCAGCCGCCCAGAAGTCGACCACAACCTGTTACAATGGAACACTGCTAGGCGGCATTGATTGGGCGCATCGGATCCGCCTACTGCCGAGCGCCCCGACCGTTTCCCGAGCGACGATGCAAAGGCGGTCTCGTGTCGTGAGACCGCGATTCAGCAACGCCAGCTGACAAGGTGCTGCCGGGCCGGCTTTGCCCAGGCTGGCCATGATGAGCATTTGCTCGAAGGGTCTGCTGACGGGAGGGGTTCCTGGGTGGCGGCGGTGGTGGCGGCGGCGGCGGGATGCGAGCGCAACTAACTGGGGCGGGCTGGAAGATTGCGATGGTGGGAACAACGAGGGTTGGAGCAGCAAGCCCAACAGGCACCATCAAGGCATTGGCAAGGAGCTGGGTTTCCGCAACTTCGACACGACGCAGACGGCTCAACACAATTTTGACGACGTCTGCCGCGCACACGGGCAGAATGAGCCGGCAACGCTGTGGGCACAGGAGGGGGGGGAGGGAGATCCAAGGCCGGATGGGAAACGGAGCAAGGAGCAGGAGGGGGCGGGGGTGGAGGGGGAGGTGTGCGGGTAGCGGGTAACACACGGCAAGGTCTTGGCGGCGGTGTGGGCAAAGCGGCAGCAGGGGGGAATGCAGAGTGGGACAACTGGGTGTTGACGAGATGCAACCAGTTCGTCAACGTGATTTCGAGTTGCGACATTTGTGCACGAAGTTGGGCTATTTCAATTGCCTGAGGATGAGTGGTGCTGGGACCGTGTGCTGGAGGTGGCTCAGCAGGCAGAACAGTGCAGCGTGCATCATTCGCACATGACTGACGTAGCTCGGCACCCTCAGCTGCACATGCGCTGTCGGAGCGAGAACTGCAGGAATCCGAATCGGGATGCGAAACAGAGTCGAGGGGAGGCTGCGCATGCTGCAGAGCCGCCGTGGCAGACAACATGTGCTCAGAGGTCCACGGCGCAAACACGGGCAGCAAATGTTGACCAGCGGCTTGGGCGTCACCATGAAAAGTAAGCGTGCGGTTTGCAGCATGAAATAACACCCCGCATAACAACTGCGGACGACGTCCGAATGCACTGTGACGACGATTGATACGGAGCCATGCTCCCCAGGCGGTTGTGCCTTCAATACGCACTTGTGGCACACCAATACTATTGAAACATCCCTCCGATACTAAGCGGTTGACTCGTTCAACGAACGATTCCAAAGACATGTCAAGAAAACGTGTGAACTGTGTGCGGCCATGGGTCAATGTGTTTGGCAAAATCGTCGGCTCGACGGTGGACTGTACACCAGGCGGCTCACTCGCACAGCGCTGGTGAGCGGCATTGGCGTGGGCAGACCGTCCGGAAGGACGGAAGCACTCAGCACACACTGTGAAACGGCAGTTTTGGCTACAGTGAAAATACGCTGTT